TTTGAAGAAAACATTTCAGGATTTTTCTCCATATAATGGACTTCAATGGGGATCAGTGGGCTGAAGGTCTAAATTTGCTGTTTCAATGCAACTTCAAAAAGCTCTACACGATCCCAGCCGAGGAATAAGGGTCTTATCTAGCGAAACGATCGATAATTTTCTAAAAAAAAAAAAATGTATATACTTTTTTAACCACAAATGCACGTCTTGCACTAGCTCGACTTCACGCATTACATAATCACGTTGGAAAGGTCACGTGTGACGTAGGCGGAAGCACCGACCCAGTGTTTACAAAGCGAACGAGCAAAGAAAGTCAAACGCCCTTTACAAAAAAAGGTAAAACAACGCTGTAAGACGATTTTGAAGTTGGAGGAGAAAATCAACCTTCAAATTCAACCTTTTTGAACCAGAGTACACAGACGAAGAGCTAACCGCACATAACCTTTCCAACGTGATTACTTCATGCGTGAAGTCAAGCTACTGCAAGATGAGCATTTGTGGTTAAAAAGTGTGTGTGTATATATATATATATATATATATATATAATTGTATTTATTTTTTTGAAAATGACAGATCGTTTCGCTAGATAAGACCCTTATTCCTTGGCTAGGATCGTGTAGAGCCCTTTGAAGCTGCATTGAAACTGCAATTTAGACCTTCAACCCGTTGATCCCCATTGAAGTCCATTACATAGAGAGAAAAATCCTGGAATGTTTTCCTCAAAAACCTTAATTTCTATTCTCGACTGAAGAAAGAAAGACATGAACATCTTTTTCAAATTTTTATTCTGGAAGTGAACTAATCCTTTAAACCTGCAGTGCATATCTTTATTTAATTGAATCGCAGCCTTTGTGAATTCACAGTAGCACTATGCTTTATTATAATTTTTAAATGGTTGTAATATATCATGCAGCCTTAGAAGACGGTATAATAATGCTTTTCATGGATTCTCGTCTGTGGAATGTGCCACTCGAATTACTCGAGGAATCGTGGCAGTCCTAAAATTTACACTTTGTTGAAAGTGGTATAAAACCTTTTAAAAATCAAATGAAAACAACAAAGTGTGCTTATATTGAATTTGCACTTGTAGTGTACTTCAAATCTTGAAAGTTTAGTTTTAAAGAACTGTAGTTGCAGATAATGTAGCATGAAATAAAAGGCCTCAAATGTGTATCTAAAGAGAGTTCAAATTCATGAGTATGTTTCTTAACACACTTTAAAGTGCACTTATAAAGTACTAATCTCAAATTACAAGTTTTAGAGAAAAAATTTAATAATTTCAATCATCTTTTTGTCATGCATTGAAGTTTATTTTGATGTGTAATTATGCATATATTTAAAAACATGAAATACAAGTTTAATTACATTATATTTTAGTTTACGATATGGCACTACACTTTAACCATCTTTCAAAGAATTATGAATTTACATGTAAGCATGCATTTAAGTCTTACTTAAATGGGCCAAGAAAGCACTCTTAAGTTAACTAGTTAATAACTAATTGTATTTAATATAAATTTTAACTATAACACAACCAATATTTTCTCTAGGTCCATACTTCAGTGAGCAGAGCAGTTGAGTTTTTACAACTTACGACAGGAGTAGAGTTTCCACCTCCAGAAACAATGCTGCATGCATATTTGCAGTTTGAAGCCCTCACAGATCATGAATACAAGTATTCATGCCCCACCTGTGGTGATCATCCTCCGGTGGTGATCATGGGTGTACACAAACAGACTGCTTCTCCATTATCAGGTATAAAAATTGTAATGCTGTTCAATGGCTAGTTTATTTCTTTAACATTTTTTAACATGTTGTTCTTGTCATAGTAATATACTCGAGCAACTTTTTTCAGAAAATGACATTGAAAAACCTCCAGGGAATTTTAAAGGGGAGGTCAATCTGGAAGAGTTCTGGGAGTCACTGTCCAAAGAGATGATCAGTCGAGGATTTGTTGCAAGTACATGCATAAAGTGCTTATTACACTAAATTGTAAACTATTGGAAAGAGTGCTGCATCTTATTTTTTTTTCTGCTGTTTTAGATGGCAGACACAATCCATTTGCAGTACCACCAAGTTATCACTTTTGGGCTCCTTGGATCGGCAAAAACACACGGCATTCAGACACTGTGCTAAACACGGAGTTTGAAAAAGTCCACTCTTCAAAGTCTGCATCAGAGATTTTAAAAATGACACTTACAGAGGAAAGACTCAGAGAAGAACTTTTCAAACAGAAGGTTTGCTTTATTAGTACAACAACACTTTTAATGTGTGTTTTTTTTTTACATAAATTAATTGCATTGACATTAAAGGGGTGATATGATGCGATTTCAATTTTTCCTTTCTCTTTGGAGTGTTACAAGCTCTTGGTGCATAAAGAAGATCTGAAACACATTGCATTACACCAAATACACAACATAATGTTCTTTTTAGCAACGTCATATGACCCCTTTAACATTTATAAAATAATATTGTTTTTGATAGGATGACGTGATTAGAAGTTTATGCAATGAATGTGGTGTGGACTCCACTGGATCTCGCAGTGATCTCCTTCTTAGATTGTCCGGTGAAATGAAATCCAGGCAAACATATGACAAAATCTATTCAAAAATCTGGAGTGCCACTGGTGAGCTTAATTTTCACTCTACTGTTTTAACTCTTCCTGTAAATGTGTAGTATTGTGGAAGTAATGCCAATATCTGTAAATTACTGCTTCTAACGTTTAAAAAAAAAAAATGTATCTGCCAAATCAAAGTCATGTGGTGTGAACAACATGCACAGAAATGTCGGTGACCTTTTAATGACAAGGCAAAGGTAGTTAAAAATGTTGTTTCCCCACAAAATATTTATGAATTAGTAATTCATCACTTTTGTAAAAACACTTTTTACCTTGTATACACAATCAAAAGTTTGGGGTCAGATTTTTATGTTTTTGAGTCTCACTAAGGCTGCATCATAAATGCAATAAAAACACTAATATTGTGAAATATTGTTACATTTGAAAATATCTGTTTTCTATTTGAATTTATTTTAAAATGAAAATTATTCCTGTGATGGCAAAGCTGAATTAGTTCTCAAGAAACATTTAAAAATAGTTGTTGCTTCATATTTTTTTTTTTTTCAGGATTCTTTGATTAATAGAACAAAATAGAAATCTATTGTGACCTTATAAAATTATTTTATCACTTTTGATCAATGTAATGCACATTAAGAATAAAATATTGTTTAAAGAAAAATCTCATTCCAAGCTTTAGTGTATTTTAAAATATTTAGTTGTATTTTGTAATTTGTATTTTAAAATTGTATTTAGTTAAAGTATTTGAAGAAAGATTTAAATATTAAAAGATTGTTCCTGTTAGTAACCTATTCAATAGTTTTTTTCTTCTCTGTGTTTTTCCGTCTTTTATTAGGAGGCTGGGGAGTCATTATGTGCCCCTGTGGAATTGTTTACAGTCTAAAATGCAATCTTCGAGCTGAGAGCCATCAAGATTTTGCTGATTTGCTGTTATCATGGCATCATATGCCTAATGTCATAATTTATGACTTTGCACAGGCTCTCTCAAAACACACCAATCTAAGGGCACCAGAAAAGCTACCCATCTCTCCATTTGAAGGACGCCTGGTGGAACCCACTCAAGATAACACAGAACTGGCCAAGTGTGGACAGCTGAAAGTGTCCCTGCCCTGGCTGGATGAAAAAACCAGAGGCACAGAATCAGATCCTCACGGACACCCAGTGACGGGTTCATCTGATCATTACGTACTTTGTGACCGTTTTCATGAAGGCAGCACAGAAGATGGAGATGTTCTGAGGAAGCTCACCCTCGTGCCTCAGCTGGCCGACAAAGTCAGTAGTGAGATTGCAGAGCAACTCTTTGCTCAAATGAAGAAAAACGACTACTTTTTGAACATGTCTTTGCCATCAACACATCTGTTTCAAATGAGGAACATCATTCACCACTATAATGAAAACAAGGCCAACAAACTGAGCACCAGATCAACCAAGAGTTTTGGATCCAACTTGCTGACTGAAGCTGTGTTGGGTAAATTGTAGATTTATGTTATACATTAATAAGCAACATCTGAAATGTTGTGGAAAGACGAGGGTAAAATTACATGCATATATATATATATGTATATATACATATCCTAATAGCACATATGTGCAGTATAAAAATCTTTTAAAAAAATATATTTTTTTTTTTTCTTCCTATTCTGTCTTTAAGCTTGACTGCACAGCACAGACAACCCACTGGAGTTGGAAACCATCATTTCTATTATATTTTTATCAAATGTTTGAATTTACTTCCATTCAAAGATGGCATTGTGCTTCCTGGACACTGGATTATTTAATTTTTTTGCCATTTGTATATAATGTAGCATTGCATATTTGTCTGCAAATTGCTTGTTTGTTTTTGTTCTCTTTTTTCTCTAATCATATTTAGAATCATTTTCAATTTCAATTAAATATTCAACTGTAACTGCCGCATGGTGAGTTTTTGGTCTACATCCCCTGAAGATATTCCTACAGGAGTGTTAAAATAGTTTAAATATGTCGTTTGGATATTTTATTTCTAGTTTTATTTTATTGGGATTTGTTATTGAATGTTTGTTTTGTATTCTATATAATTAAACTCACATGACTACAAATACACGTTTTGTCTTATAATTACTGTTTGTAACATCATGAAAAAGGGAATTGTATTATTATTTTACGCTAATAAAAACAAATGCTTTAAAAAAAAAAGTATATATTTTTTGTTTGTTTGTTTAGTAAAATTTGTTTAATATTTGGGTTTTATGTGCACAAATGTAGAGTTGTTTATTTATAGATAGATACATACGTAGATGTAAGCTAAAATGAATTCTGCTCCAGAACGATAGGTGGCGCGATTGTTGTAATCTGTCGTTGGCTCCGCCCCGAGGCCGCTGCATCAGTGGCTCCGCCCCGGTCAGGTTGACGCTCTTTCGCTGGAAAGCGGAGTTTGTGCACAATAGTGATGGCAGAAATATCGCTTTATCTATCCAGCGTCAGTATAATGGACCCTGACAAGGTAAATCTGATGTTTGACCAATTTAAATCAGGTTACGTGCCTGAATGACTCGCATAAATATTTCCATTTATTTTAAAATCCAATAAAATATCATTCAAGTTTGTTCCGTTTTATTGTACTGTTATCATTTTGTATTTAAGCATTCACATTGTGCCAGGAATTAAATGAAAAATAGTCATCTCTGACATCATAACGCTATAAAAAAATATTAAACACCTTAGTTTTGAAGATACTAAATGTGTGTTGCATAGTTACATAGTGACTTAAGCCAGTCAGATATTGTAGGTCTGTCCCACTAAAAGTTATATTACTACAGAAGAAAAAAAGAGAACATGGTATTAGACATTAACTAATAAAGAAGCAAAAATGTCCGAAAATTTTAAAGCAATGCAGATTTATTTATTTATTTATTTGGGCTATTTATTATTATTTTTTTAAGCAAACCCATATATATATATTTATTATGGTTTTAGAACAGAAGCAATAACTTTACTGTGGTATTTTGGAAACTACTATTGTTCATTTCTTTTTGTAGGGGCACTAGGCCAGTTTTCTTCCCTCATTCCAGTTTAAAAGCCCATCATATTGTGCATGACAGTTATTTGTAATATATCTGGTGTGTGCCTGTGGACAGAGCTCTGGAAAAGAGAAGGAATATGAGTGTGTGGAGCTTGGTGATCTGGACAGAAAAGAGAAAACCCCACGCCGCATTATTCATTTCTCCAGTGGGGAGACCATGGAAGAATACAGCACAGATGAGGAGGAGGAAGACAAAACACAGAACGCAAAGAAAGAGCTTCTGTCCTCCATAGACACTGTATGTGTGTTTGAACAAATTCTCTGAGAGATCCTTAAAGGGAAAGTTCACCCATTCTGCCATCATTTACTCACCCTCATATCATTCCAAACCTGTAATGTAGATTTTTTTTTTCTATACAATGAAAAAAATCAGAATAAGACTTGAATATAACTTTATTTTTGTATCTTTATATTTAAGTCCAAGCTGACCTGGGGCCCGTATGTCTGGTTTCAGATGTGGAGAGCAGCTTCATCCACTATATCTGGTAAGTCTGTGACAAAACTGATGTGACAACCTGAACTTTGGTATTTTCCAGATTAAAGATGTATTTGCTGAAGTATTTTGTTTGCACTATCTATAATTTTATCTATCATGTTTGCCTTCTTTGCTGATATATTTTGTCACAGATTTGTTGCACATAAAAGTCATAAATTAAACAAATACACATACATAACTACAAGCTGTTACAATTTTTTTTGTTAACCTGAACCTCCAAATTTTTGTTATTGAGAACTAAAGCCTGTGTAATATTGTAGGGGGAAAGAGCATATAACCAAACATGTAAGTTTGTATAGATTAGAAGAATTTACTTTTAGATGTTGTTTCCAAATACTTTTTTAATGTCAGTTTTAAATTGTGCAAAAATATGCATTTTTTTTACAAACCATTTGACTTTATGAATACAATAATTCTAATTAAATAAAAAATAAATAACATATTTTTACTACCTATCTACAATATATATATATATATATATATATATATATTCTTTATTTTAGTAATTTTATATCACTATACAAATTCATTATACTATACGAAAATAATCATATATTTCTTTTATCACCTATCCACAATATTTTATCCACACCTTCACATCACATCAGCTTCTGCAAAATTAACAACAATCTTAGCTTTTCTTTTTGGAGAAAACTGTTAAAAATCATATTCACATCCTGTGTACAGGCATAATGACAGAAATGTGCATAATCACGCCTGGGGATTAAAAATGTTTTTTTTTTTTATATCTCCTCAGGCCGTTGTGGATGATGTTAAATGATTGTGACATGGTGGTTTGGATGTTTTATTTAAATATGCAAAACAGCAGAAACATTTCTTTATTTAGTTCTTTTTGTGTACTATTAAGTTCATGTTTAGTAAAGCACCACATCATAAGATTTTCTTGAATCGTTTGAAATCCTGCAACTCCACAGAGACATTCACTAAGCTTTTTCAAACGGAGCACCTTGGAGAGCCAGAAAATCGAGAAAATTACAGTGTATGGATGAACACATACACAAACATCCATCAAGAATTGAAGCAAAAATGTGCTTATTCCTCGCCCTTTATTAAGCCACATATAAATATTCATATTCAAATTCTGCCTGCCCCATCTTTCAGCTTGTGATTTAATCGGTGAGCGAATGGCATCACTTTTTGGCATCACCTCAGCTAAATACCAGTATGCCATAGATGAATACAGCCGGTCAAAGAGGGAGGTACGGTGGTCCTTTGTATTAATATTATCTGAATATCAAAGAATCAGAATTGTCATATTATAATGTTTTTGTTGCTGTTGTTGTTGTTTTTCACAGAAGGAGGAGAGAGATGAAGATACGCGGCTCTCTGAAGAGGCAGAGCACCTGTTTGAAGAGCAGCAAAATGAAGATGAAGATCCGAAGACCAACCAGCCCGACAACAACAGCACTCAAGTACAGATGACCAATGAGCTGGACCTTCACCCTTCTTTTGTACCCAACACAGTTCACATCCCAGCTCTTGTTACTAGTACTTAACTACAAACATATTTTGTCATATAATTGTGGTTTAAACACTAGCCACTATTCTTTAAAGCACTTATTACCACTCTGATTTCAAATAGTAACTTGTGTCTTCGACTGCCTTAATGCACTGATCCTGGGCCAGTGAAACTATATATACTGATCATGGTGCTAATGAGGAGGTGAGACCAAAAATGAATTTGTCTAAAAATGGAACTACACTAACATGATTACACTGAACATTTCTACAGTATGTGTATTTTTAATTGACTCTGTACAGTATGTATGTATGAGTTATTATTATTAGTGTTGTGAAACATTTGATGGACTTCCATCAATACAGAAACACATACCTCACACTGAATTTTCAGTTTTTATTTAATATACTGGTAATGCTTGATATTTGTCTTGTCATTCTTTGTACTGAATCATTAAATGGTTTTTAAAGAGAAGTGTAATTTTTTGAAATGAATGAATAAAATACTGCAGTATTGTATCTAATGAGACTTAAATGTTTTACCCCCGGTTTCACAGACCAAGCTTAAACCTAATGCCAGACTAAAATCTAAGTCTGAGCTGTTTCAACTGAAAGAAACTTGCTCTGACTGATCTTAAAATATATCAGTGTCTTTATTTTGTCTCAAAATGCACACCAGTACTGTTTTTTCTAAGGCAAGTTTATAAAAAATTACTTAAATGTCCTAATTGAACTATGGCCTAATCCTGGTTTAGTCTAAGCCCTGTCTGTGAAACCAGGCCTTAGTGTTTAGCTGTGTTATTTTAGTATCATTGAGATACTGTGGGCCAAATTTACTAAACAGGGTAAATTAGTGTAGGAGCGCAATCCCAGAAAAGCACAAATGAAAGCAGAAAGTTCTGGAGATGATTTACTGGCAATCCACAAATTATAGAACAGCTGCAGCAGTTTATATTCATTCATGAACAACACAATCTGCAAAGAGCAACGCAAATTAGCATAGGATTGCAAACAAGCAGAGCCGATCATAATCAGGTGAGTGTAATCTACTAACAAAACACGCAAAATTGGTTAAGACATTATTTTTTGAGCGCTCAAATATCAGTAAATTGATTAAAGCAAACCTTAGTAAATCACCTTGCATGATTAATTTAAATAATTCAAATGAATACTCTCCCTTCTATACATTTTGCATCTGAAAGGGAAACTCCTGCAAATGCATATGCAGTAAGGTCAGCCATAAAAATAATTGTGGCCATGCCTTTTCATCGCTAATGATTCACTACGTGTCTTTAGTAAATCCTGACAAATGCCAAGTGAGGGTTCGCCCTGACACAAGCTGTTATATACACGTCTGGAGCGCCAGCTAGTCTTTATTCGTTTTTATTTTGGTTGTAGTCTGTTATTTTAATACATCAGGTTAAATTAAATGAAAAGTTACATTTCCTTGGCAACTAATTTATCATCTTTAAATCATCTTTAAAAATATTTCAGTTAACATTTATTTCAAGTAACAAAAACGTTGTTTTAGTTCACTATAATTACCCTGGTGTTTGGCTCAGGGTTGGGTTTAGAAAATGCTTGATTTTAACCATTACATTTTTAAGGTTTGAAATGTGCTTGAATTTTGAATATCATCCTTTAAAATGCTTAGTGTGTGTGTGTGTGTGTGTGTGTGTGTGTGTGTGTGC